CAGAACCGACCCATAGCTGACCCTCTGGCAGGTTGTCGGAAGCAGTTAATCAAACAGGAGACTGCCCCTCCTTCTTCTACGGAACAGCTGGTGGCCTTGAACAACGTGCCTTTTGGGATTGCAGCACAGTTTCATGCTTCCTGCCACTAAGCCACCAGCTTCCTATAAACAAATAAATAATCATGAGAAACAAAAAAAAATCACCACCAAAAAAAAACAAAGGAATCCCTGCAATGCAGATCCTTAAGAGGGTGATGTGATGGCATCTGACTAGGGGAATTACTGTCAATTGGGTGTTGAGATGATGTTTAAGTTAGAGATGAGATAAGAGTTGGCAAGCATAAGCCTAGATGGCCTCATTTCTCTCACTCTGGATGCCAGCTCTTTGTGGTCTCCTCTTTGGGGGCCTATTTCCAATTCTGTGAGCTGATGAATTGGCATGTGGGTCAGGCTGATGGCCAACTTCTACTCCAGCTACTTTATATATATTCACTCTCTTACTTTTCTTCCTGAATAAAGAAACCAGCACACAGCACATGGTCTCACAAGACTTAGCCCAGTTTGGGAGTTGTCATTAGCACAGGAAAAACTTTCCTGAACAATAAAAGAGGAAGTGAATCAATTACTAGGGGGTCCTTGTAGTGCAACGATGAATGTGTTTGCTGTTAACCAAATAATTGGAGGATTAGGTCCATCCAAAGGTGCCTCAGAAGAAAGGTCTGGTGATCTACTTCTGGAAAATTAGCCATTGAAAGCCCTATGGAACAACAGGCCTACTGTGCCACATGAGATCACCATGAATCAAAATCAACTGGTAATAAACTGCCAAAACTGTGGGTATGCTTTGTAAATTTCATTATCCTCCCTAGGCTTCCTTAACACGTCAGATTTTTTAAAGATCAAAGTAACCTTGATTGGGAGATACCAGAGCACACAGCTCTGGGTAGTGATTGCTCATTTATACACGCAACAGAGAATAGTATGCGTAAGCATTTTGCTATGGCTTATGCAACATATCTAGAGTCTTTAGGTTCAGAGTGTCTCTGATGGAGCATCTCTTAAAATCTGATATTTTTGTTCAATCTAGTAAAATATTTTCCAAAAAGAAGAAAAATGTATTGGCTTATTAAAGAACCCTACAATTGCCAGGTGGGCCTCTGTGGTTCTAGAATGCCTCTAGAAGGTACCAATGTGAATACTTCAAAAACAAACAATGCTTATAATTAACTCTCCCCATCCTCACTCCTCTGCTTCATCCTTCCCCCCACTGGATCCTATACATGTTCTACAACAGTGGTCTTACACAGTATTTGTCCTTATGGGACAATACATTCCAGTCCCTCCCAAATTAGGTAACAATTTGCAGAATTATGTGTAGTATTCCGTTGTGTGAATGTACCATAATTCCTGACACAATTTGATTGTGGTTGGATATTTGGGCTGTTTCCGTGTTCTTGCGATAGTGAATAATGCTGCTATGAACATTGGTGTACAAGTCTCTGTTTGTGCCTCAGTTCTCATTTTCTCAGGGTATATTTCAAACAGTGGAATAGCTGGGTCCTATGGAATTTCTATGTTCAGCTTTTTGAGGAAATGCCAAACTGCCTTCCAGAGTGGTTGTACCATTTTACAACTCCACTAACAATTTATAAGTGTTCCTATATTGTCACATTCTCTCCATCATTTATTACTTGCTGGTCTGTTAAACTTCGCCACTGATACTGGAGTGAGATGGTGTCTCATTTTGATTTTGATTTGCATCTCTCACATTGCCATGATTTTGAGCATTTCTTCATGTGTCTGTTGGTCATTCGAATAGTATCACACAATTTGATGGGTGTAGAGAGGGGTGGGTAAAGGAAATGGGAAAGATCTGGTGGGAAAACAATGTGTGTGAACTTTGTATGTGTGTGTACACACACATATACACACAATGCTAAGGGGAGGAAAGAAGAAATCAGGGAGGGAGGTGATTGCTAACAATGAAGGACTTGAGGTTTTACTGACCAGGAGGTTTAGGCTACGTTGTTTCTATTATGTGCCATCGAGTTTACTGTGAGTCATAGCAATCCTATAAACAACAGATCTGAACCGTACACTACCTTGTATCATCCTTACCATCTCTGATATATTTGAGCCCATTGTCATAGTCACTATATCATGCCACCTTGTTGAGGTTTCTCCCTCTCTTCTGCTTGCCTTTCCAAGCATGACATCCTTTTCCAAGGACTTGCCCTTCAGAGCAAAATGCCCAAAGTATATGTGATGAAGCTTTGCCAGCCTTGCTTTCTTGGTCACACCTTCTCCAAGACAGACTTGTTTGTTCTTTTGGCAGTCCATGGGATATTCAATAAGGAATACAAAGATAAGATGTGAGACAGAGGTGTGTCTGTGTATGTGTGTGTATGTGTATGTGGGTTGGCTTAGAAGAACTATCTAGAGTTGAAAGTGACCATTCTGAGTTTGTAGAGCAATAAAGAAATCTTTGTCACAGAAAAAGAGCAATTATATTCAGAAAATAATGGAGAATCAGTTGGATAGGACAACTGGAAACATATTATGCCTAGGACTGTTCACATCAGGCAGGGAAGATTAGCAGTAATAGAGTAGAAAATAGTCATGAAAGTTGTTGGAGTGGAGGAGAGAGAAATGAAATCATGAATGTGGCCTCTGAAGATGAGCTATGCAGCCGAGTGAATTGGCAGGAGTCAGGCAGGCCAGAGAAGAGGTTGTTCCAACCATCTGGAAGTGAGATGATAACTGGAGTCTCAAACTCAAAAATCTACAGGCCAAAGCTGGACTGCAAATGAGAAGAAGGTGACTTTTTTTAGCCAGAGAGTGCACGCCTTCCTTTTCTTCCCTCTCACCTGTCCAACAATGAAACTTGCAGAGGTGGGGGGCTGGGGGAACAAAAGTCTGGTCCCTTCAGCTGGTAAGAGGATAGCCCCAAGCACTTGGCAGTATGTTGCTCCCAGGGGCTCTGTATGTTGAATCACAGCAACTACAATGAGATGGTGGGGATAATTCTGCTCTGCCTGGCCACAGGCTTTGATATGAGCTGATCATCTGTTCCCAGTGCATGCTGTTGTGTGGAGATTGGCTTGAAAGAGAAGGCACTGTTTCTTAGAGAGGGCAGGCTTAGGAGCCTCTAGTCCTACAGCACCCACATGACTAGTGCTTCTTTCCTAGATCTCAGCTGGCAGAGGGTTCCAGGGAATTGAATGTTTTCACTTTAATCATGGTAGTTTGATAGTGCAGTGGTCAAGGTGGATTCCCCTCCTGCATGCTTATCTCTTGGTGAGACATATATTGTGGTGATTCTGTTTGTAGACTTTGGTGTCAAAGGCTAAGTTTCAAGGGCTAAGTTCATGATGTTGGGATCTATAAAATACTCACTGCCGTTGAGTTGATTCTGACTCATAATGGCCCAGTAGGCACTAGAACTGCCCATAGGATTTCCAAGACAGTTATCTTTGCAGAAGTAGATTGCCAATCTGTGGATTGGCTGGTGGATTGACTTTTGTAGTTACCAACTGAAGGTGTTTTACCGACAGCACCTCTAAGGCTCATGATCTGTAAAATAGGAAAGGAGTGAATGAACTTATAGTCCCAACGCAGGTTAAGGATCAATAAAACTATTTTGATGTGGATCAATAATGCTATTTTTGATGTGAGTGATGTGATATTTTGATATGAAGCCATTAGCTTACATATGGGGAATACTGCTTTATGCCTAGAGAACTTTTTAACATTGTCTTAAAGCTTCAAGGCTCAAGGCTGAGGTGCCTGTGAGCACATTTCAGGAGGTGTCCTGACTATTTTTGCTACTAACCTGGATTATAACTTTTGGACTTTCCTAACATGATTCTGTGTGGTCTGTGAGCCATCACATCACATTTTTGGACCCTGCAAAGTAGCAAGATTGGTGTTGAGACGAGTAGAAATAGATAAGTAGCATGGGGGTCATGTCTGACCTTATGGGAATTGGTTTTGTGTTTTGATGCTGTTGGTGGGGACAGTTCCCCTTTGTGAAGTTGTTAAGAGTAAGTACTGTCCCCATGTGGCCCTTTCTCTTTTTACAGTTGTTTCAATACCTAGAGCTGCTAACAGAAAAACCACAGTGAGTAGTTTTCAATAACAGAAAATAGTTGTCTCTTAGTTTGGAAGCTAAAAGTCCAGTCAGTTGAGTTTTCCATGGTAGATAATCCTGGATATTCCTGGATTCCTTGGCTTGTAGATATCCTCAAATGATTTTCTGTGTTTCTAATCTGCTTAAATCAAGACCTGATTAATTAGATTTAGAGTCTATTTAATTAGATATGCTCTGACTCACTCATTCCCTCATTGCTTTTAAGTCAGAACCAACTCATAGCTGACTCTCCAACAGGTTTTCAGAGACGAAATTGCCCATCTTTCTCCCTTTTAGCATCTGGTGAGTTCAAACTGTATTTGGATTGGTAGTGCAACTTCTTACCCATTGTTGTTGTTGATTGCCATCAAGTCAAGCACTGTTCATAGCAACCCTTTGAGCAAAAGACCTCAAGACTTTATATAACTATTGATGTTTCTCAAAGTTCATAGAGTTTCCGGTGGCATGTTGTTTAGGAAGAGGATGCCACTTTTACTCGTTAGGCCACCAGAATTCCTTGGATATGATCTAGTTAATTGAGTCCTGCAAAGAAGGGCTAAACACATCTCAGAAATTATTATATTCCCCCCTATTTTTTTATTCAGTCCTTATATGCATTGGACTGTGAGCTTCAAATAAAATGAATTTACTGTTGTTGAGTTGATTCCAACTCATGGTGACCCTTTCTTGAATTTCTGAGGTTGTAAATATTTCCAGGAGTAGACTGCCCATCTTTTTCTTTCAGAGCTACTGGTAGGTTTAAACTGCCAACCTTTTGGTTAACAGCTGAACATAAAGTGCACTATGCCACCAGTGAAATTAGGAGAAATACATAATAATTGCATTATAACGATTTGTTTGCTTCCTACAGGATCTGGGAAACAAAGACCTCAACAGGGAGAAAATTAACTTGATTTGTCAAATCGTCCGTGTTGGGAAGATGGATCTTAAGGATACAAATACAAAGAAATGCACACAGGGACTGAGGCGGCCCTTTGGAGTGGCAGGTAAAGACATACTCAACACCATTAACTACTATATGAGCGCACATTTCCCCCCATAACTGAATCATAAAGATTATTTCTTTCCCTCTTCCCTTCTCCCTGCTCACCTCCAAAAAGAAAAGAAAAAAATAAAGAGAAGAATTTATGCCAGACAGTCTCTAATACCTACATTTCTGGTGCCTAAATCAAAATAATTGGTGACTAAGTCCAGATTTATGACGAAGACAGTGAATAATGTGATCCCTGTGTCTGGAAGCGAGCACGGGGAGCATGGTGCAGTCTGAGCATGTGGCGTCTCCGCTCCCAGTGCTGTGAGGAAGGAAGAACAATATGGGCAGGATCTAATTATGAAGAACAAATCATTTTACCAAGAAAAAAAAATCCAGGACAGGAAATGCAGTTATCCAGAATGAGTCACCAGCCACACATCTAAATTCCAGATGGAAATGGACATTTGGAGGCTGGACATGACCCAGTGACGAGCGTGTCGAACGATGTGGCCGTGGCGCAGGCAGCCTCAGGTCCAGGCTCTTCCCCACACTCCCTCTCTCAGCGCTGCTAGGGCTGCATCATTCTTGTCCCACTTTATGGCTGTTGTATTTGAATATCGCCTGCACTATTATTTACCTAATATATTTTCTCTTAATCAAACCACTTTGTTTACACTAGAGTACATTTCTTTTCTAAGAAGACTATTTAAATATCTATGAAAATATCAATTTGCTATGCGACTTTTCTTCGTTTATTAAACTATAAATTTTTAATCGTGTATCATTTATAATCCCTGGGTACTGTGTCTGAGCTCATGTTTCCAGTTCCTCACTTTGGGATATCCTGATTTTCTGCACTCTTAAACCAGCTGGCTCTCCACTTAGTCCTCTAGCACTGTTCATAAATTGGAGGAATGGAAAAAGTTATACTGACCCAGCTGGTAATTTTACCTAGTATTGTCACTAGCTAGTTAAGTGACCTTGGGGAAGCATTTTCCCTAGGATCTCAGGTTTGTTATATGACAAATGAGAGCTTGAACCTGGTTCATCTACAAAAACTCCTCCTGAGCCAGAATGTTCTGGTTCCATATGAAAGACTTCCTTGGTATCACAATGTTCCTATTAAGGCAGCATGGAACCTTCAGTCTTACCTCAAAGTGTGTCTTTGTCCTGGTTACGATCTGTACTCTCTTTTGCCTTTAGGGCACAGAAATCTGATCTAAACTGGCTAAGATCAGATTTTTTTCTCCACTCTCATGGAACAGAACAATTAAAGGATAAATTGCTGTAGGCAGAGTTGGAACCAGGAACTTAAATTTATATCTGTCCATAGCTCCAATGTCCTCTTACTGACTTATTCTCCAAATGACTGTCCAAATAGCTGACTATTCAATTAGCCTGTGTTCCACCAGCTTAGCACCAGTAGAAAGACAGTGCTCCTTTTCTGTGAGTTCCAGCAGAAGTTTAGGCATTTAAATGGAGATCATGTGTTCATCTCAAAGCATCTACGGATCTAATGGCAGGGGATATCATTCTCTGCTTGGCCAGGGCAGGTCTCTAGAGCCAATAGTCCCACTCAAATGACTTGACTAAGTAAGCCTGTTAATTAAAAAGAATGAATGCTGGTCAGGATCACACACTTTTCTTTGCTCCCTAACTTCATCGCTAGTCATATGTGGTCAGTGGTTAAGCACTACCTAAGAAATTGTAATAGTCTCCTGACCATTGCCTGGAATGTTTAAGATATTGAGTCCTACTAGGATTGTGACTCTTGTGTATATAAATAGATTTGCTTTTTTTTAAAAAAAACCTTCATCCCTTCTAGAATCCTACGTGTAGTTGACCTTTGCCTTGGTTTTGTGGACCTTCAGTGATTAGTTTTAAGGGGATATTTCAGAGGACCCAGGATCTTTTTGGAATTGTAGAGTTCACGGATTCTACAATGAGATATATATATATATACATGCTTATGAAAAGAAAAGAGATTATTTTCATTACCTTTTCTAGTCCTAGAGTGAGTCATTGCACCTGTTTTTAGGTGGTGAATATATGTACATATTCAACACATATATGCCAAATGCAAAATTAATTGTGTAATCCTGTAGCCACTGCTCTGGTTCTTCCCTTTTGACCTCTGCTGAACCTTCGGCCTCTTGCATGTTTTCCTACCTCCTGACCTCCCAGGTGACTTTGTGCAGAGGTCTGTGGCCCGGTGACCCGTATTCTGAGCCCTCACTCTCTGTTGTTGTCTGTTGCTGACTGGATTGCCTTATTTTAGACTTAACCTAACTGCTGCCTCTTGCCTTATAGTCTCATCCACTGTCATCCTTTCATGAGGGGAGGGGAGTTGAAAACACTGAATCTTTTTTCTCTGTTTCCAGTTATGGATATAACAGACATCATCAAGGGGAAAGCAGAGAGTGATGAAGAAAAACAGCACTTCATTCCCTTCCACCCGTAAGATATTGCTTATTTCTCTCCATTCTTTTCAGACACACTCTTTCTACTACAAAGGATAAACTAATTCCCTGAGCAGATGATAGCTAGGATGGGCCTCCCGAGAAGAGAGTGAGCAGCATGGCTTCAGTGCCAAACAGTTGTTCACCTATTCTTCAAGCAAGTTTTATTTATGGAACAGACTTTTATTGATGGCCTGGCAGACGGCTCGACATTGTGCTAACCATGGGCATTAAGATGGTGAACCAGATAGGCACAGCCTTGTCTTCACAGAATTTACAGTTTAGATTAGGAATTAAACAAATCAGCTGCAAAAGTTAGTGAATTACGTGCAAATGTGAGTTATTGTTGATAGACGCTGCTGTGGGGGTCACCATGCATTGCAACCTAATGCACAGCAGAATGTAATGCTGCCTGCCACTGCTCAATCCTCACCCTCATTGCTATGTTTGAGCCTATTGTGAGAGGAGGCGCAGAACTATGAAGAAGAAGAACATCTAACAATGACAAATACCTGTGACTTGGGAGGAGACAGGGCTGGAGGGGAAAACATCCTTTTCTTGCTCTAAAAAAGAATCTGCAAGAGATTGGAACCTTCACTATAAGAATGTTATCATGATTACATAACCCCAAGGACTGTCCAAGAAGGATGAGGTTTTGGTTCAGGTAATGAGGTCAGTGACACTGATGAAGATAGGTACGTGGCTAGGATTTAGGAGGAAAACTTAAAGACTTTTCCACTTTGCTGAGCAGGTATACACTTTGAAGACTTAGGAATCTTGGTTTGGGGTCCCCCCCCCCAAGAGTCTTTCTACCTGATGAAAAATATGGCTTCTACTTGCAGGCTAGGTATTCCCACAGGTTAGAGCCATATTGTTCTGTGAAGACAATATCAGTGCCTCATGACAGTATTTGTACATTCTCAGAGATGATCTAGGCAGGCTGTCTTTTCATCTGGGAAGTACAGTGGGCTGAGAAGTTCATGGAGCATTTAAAAATACAAGTTGGTAGCACTTTCTGCTTTGTGTCTTTTCCAGGGTAACAGCTGAGAATGACTTCCTACACAGCCTGCTGGGCAAAGTCACAGCCTCCAAGGGAGACAGTGGAGGGCAAGGTACAGTGCCAATGGGCAGAGTGGGCTGAGCTGGATCTGGGCTGGAGCCTCAGGTTCTTCTGCAAACAGAACAAAATCCTGCTCACAGTACCAGCAGCTCTCCTTCCAGACAGGATCTGCAAAGGATGGGAGTATGGAATCTTCAGGTGAAATCCTGAAACAATGGGAAGCATGTCCTAATTCCTGCAGGAAGAGAGAGCTTGCCATTTCCTGAGTATTCACTATGGGTTAGATGGCCTAGTGGTAAGAACTAGCGCTACAATCCTAAAGACATTAATTCCCCAGCTGCTGTGCTGGAGAAGGATGGGAAATCTCCCATGTGCTCTATTGTCTCTGAAGACCTGCTCAAGGGTCAGCTGTGAGATGGTTCCAACTCCATGGCTCACTATAATAACAGCAACAGGAACTTAAATGTGCTATCTTGGTTGAGAACACCCTGCTTGCAGTCCTATGAGATAAATGCAAAACCAATTGAGTTGACTGACTCATTTGACCTCTAGTGTGTCAGCATAGAACTGTGCTCCATGGAGTTTGGTTGCCTTTTGAAGGTAGATGGTCAGGTCTTTGTCAAAGGCACCTCCAGGGGGGTGCAACCTGCTAATCTTTCAGTTGTAGCTAAGTATGTTAACCTTTGTGCCCCTCAAGACTCTGAGATAGAAGGTATCACTACCCCTTTTTTAAAAAAATGAAAACCACTCAGACTGTGTCCTCTCCCCCGAATTTAGAGAAATTGGACGTTTTCACAAAGCTGATATTCTAGGAGCAGCAGGTAGGATTCTAACTGTGAGGTATCTAACTTTCTTTGCTTCCTATTTTCTGCTCCCACTGGCTGGCTAGCTACATCTATGGGTGTGTGTCCAGAGACTCCAGTGGCCTCTTCTAGGAAGGAAGATTGATGGATGGGGAGGTGGAGACTCAAGAGAATTCTTTCAAGAGATTGGTTCTTCATGATAAATGTTCTTTTCCAGGCCTCTGGGTGACAATGAAGATGCTGGTGGGTGACATTGTGCAAATCCGCAAGGACTATCCACACCTGGTAGACAGGACCACAGTGGTGGCCAGAAAGCTGGGTTTCCCAGAGATAATTATGCCAGGTGAGAGGCAGCAGCCCAGCCCTTCCTTCCTTCTTGTTGTTAGATGCCATTGAGTTGACTATGACTCATAGTGATTTTGTGAACAAGGAATCTGACCCTTGCCCCTCCCTGAGCCATCCTCACCGTCTCTGATGTTGTTGTTAGGTGCCATCTCTGATAGGGAGGGACATTTCTTATCTACTGTTTTAATGATTAAATTATTCCTTTTCTATTGTCTTTGACTCTTCCTAAAAGTAACCGCTGAAAATTCTTTTTGTGTGTCTAAAAGTCATCTATGCACGTGCATAATACAACACACAAACACACGTAAATTGAGACACATGCACTCTCTCCCCCACTAAGGGGATCATGCATTATATCACTTTTTATACCATTACTTTATAAAGTGTTCTGCAAGTTGCTTTATTACTTAGTAATTTGTCGTGGGATCATTTCTGTTTCACTATATACAGAACAGTTCATTGTTTCTGGGGGAATATTGTCTTTCTCTTAAATTTTAAATTATTTCTTATTACCAAAGGAATCTATACTCATTGTAAAATATTTAAATTGCATGAAAAAGTATAAAGTGAAATGTTAAAAGCTCCCTCAACCCCAAGTTCCCAAATCTTTCTCTCAAGAAGCAACTATAGCTATTAACATTTTTCTAAATGTGTGTGCATTAAAAGAAAAACTAATCAGATTGCATAATAACAGTTTCTTGAAATATTTTTCCTAGACTTCACACCTATTGTCTTGAATGTCTGTCTGTGGTTTGCCTCCTCTTTCCATAGATGCATGGTGGTGCTTCTGGGCCTGTACTGTGGCTTATGTGTACCTACTTTACTTGATACTTCAATTCTCTGTGTACATCTCTAAGGATCTTTAGTACCTTTTATACACCCAGCCCTTCGCTCCACTCCTGAGGATTCCTGGCAACTCAACCCTGCCCTGCTGTTGGTAGGACACCAGAAAATTCTCTCCAATCCCCTTTGCTTACAAAGATCTGTGGGTATGTGTGCTTCGCTGTTGTTGTGTTTATTGTTGTTATGTACCTTTGAATCAGAACCAACCCATAACTGACCCTCCAGTGGGTTTTCAGAGGCAGTAAGTAAATCACACAGGAGATCTTTTTAAAGATCAGTTCAATTGGAGCTTTCCTTTGCCTTTCCAGTAGGTGTCACTAGAGGATGAAAATTAAATGATTTTAATGTAGCAGAAACCACAACTGATTTTGACCCTTCTATCTCCGTTTTTGCAACTGGTTTCCTAGGCTCCTTTATCTTTCCCCCAGTATCCTGATTACCTTAAAAAAATCCATTTGCCAAACTCTTCTGAGTTCAGTCACAGAGATGAAGGTAGGGCGCTTCCCCATTCCCCTTCCAGTCCATCAGTATCTTTCTCCTGCCATGTTCAACTCTAATTCCTGCCTCATCTTCTCTCTCCTCTGCCTCAGGGGATGTCAGGAACGACATCTACATTACTCTCCTACAAGGTGACTTTGACAAGTACAACAAGACCACGCAGAGGAATGTGGAAGTGATCCTGTGTGTGTGCACTGAAGATGGCAAAACGCTTCCTGTAAGGGACTCTCTGTCTCTGGGTGACATGACCACTGTTTGGGGGGGCTTCTGCTTATAAAGATTAGTTTTCAGATCCAGGATTCGGCTAAGTTCCATGCACTTTTAGGATTGAAATTGATGAAAACTAATAAGCTTGGTTAGCTCCTTGTCCTATGATAAGATTGCATTTGTTATATGTTTTCAGTTTGTGTGCCTTTCCTTTCACGACTCTCTTCGAGTTTTCTAGAGGAACAGAAAAAGTAAACAGATAGGCAGACTGACAGGGAGATAGATACTTACGATAAGGAATTGACTCATGCAGTTGTGGGCACCATCACGTCCGAAATCTGTAGGTCAGACAACAGGCTGGAGATTCCAGTAGGCTTTGTCCTTAAATCTACTGTACATCAGCCAACAAGAAGCCTGAAGAGTGAAGACAATTCTGACAAAATATCTGTTTATGACCTGGAGGCAGAATATACCATAGGAAAACTTTCTTTTTGCCCGTAAATGTGTTAGTGAATTGACTGGTTGAGGTCCACATTATAGCAAGTCATGTGTTGGGCTTAAAGTCAGCTGAATCTACACTGACCTTTGTCCCGCCAACTGGCCTCCCTAACCTGGCAGGACCATCATACCCCTTCTCCATTTCCCCCGCATGATCTGAGCTTTTAGGTAACTTTTTGTAGCTATAATGTTGTTCTCATTGAAATCTGAACTGATTTATTCAGGTATAACCCATGGTGAAAAGATGATAAATGTGGAGTCGTGGGGTGGTGTGGGGACTCAGGTTGTCCTCAAAGCAGAGGTTCCCAACACTTCATCTCCCTAGCACGCAGCCAGAAATTCTGGTGGAAAGCTTTCTTCTTAAATTGGTCTCCAGAGGACTAGCAGAGTGTAGTCAAGAATGCAAAGCACATTGCTATAAATATTTATACAGCATATGTCCTGTACAATATTTGTCATGTGTGTTTACATTTGTTTACTTATATTTCCTTTAAGGTTGTCAGCACTTGTGTCCAGTGTGTGGGAGGGTTTTGCTTCTCAATTTCTCCTCTCGGAGTACTGAGCTCAAAATAAAATCGGCTTCCAACACTAGTTCCAGCATGGGAAAGTACTCTCCTTAGGCCACGGGAGGTGATCAGATAGCAAAGTGGGGTTTAGGGGTGGAAGTGTTGATAAGTCATCTGCCCTGGCTTTGGGTCTTAGCTGTCAGGCTGATTTGGCTGACCTCTGCAAAGGCAACTTCTCGGTGCCGACATGCACAGAGGAATTGCTGTACATCAGGCATTGTGATGAGTGTGATGCGTTAGCATTGTTGTCCCCATTTTGCAGATCAAAGTGAACTAAATGAAGCATCTTACCCAAGGTTGTACAATTAGTACACGGCAGAGCGGGGGTTTGACTGCAGGTACTAAACCCTTTTAGCCACTTCATGATAATTCCCTTCTTTCTCTATTTTATGATTCTCTGATTTAGCTGACACTTTAGAAACACAGTTTATAACCACTCCTATCAGATTCTGCAAAGACTCAGTTTTTCTTTAAATTTAAAGAGATCTCCACAAATGCCTTTTTCTTTATAATGATTGCCCCTAGGAATTGGTATCTAGTTGAGGAAAACCCAAGGGCTTAACACTTCTTCTTTTTGTAGGATTTGGAAACTTTTCTGAAAAATAAGTAAAGGAGAAACACTTCGCTCAAAGAAACACAAAGGAAGCACAGAAGGTTTTTATCTGAAAGGAAGATTGAATTGCACAAATATATAGACCATTGCTTTGAAGATATTTTTATCTAACTACCTGCTAGAGAACGCTTTAAACTCAGCTTCATTTTGGAAACGCTGATATGCTTACCTCCGATGTGGCTGAAGGACAGGTTAGGAGGAACAGTCAACAAGAGGGAAGCAAGCAGATTAGCTTGTTTCTGGTCCCAGCGAACTCTTCTTACTTCTTCCAACATAGCAAACCTTACAAATGACACCCGGCAGGGCGGAACAGACATGATTAGCAAAGATGGATATATAAGCAGGTGTTCTGGGGCTGAAACCGAAAGGTAACCCTGGGGCACCGTGATCATTTTCAGTTTCATCTATTTGGGAATTTACGGGGGAGTCACGTTGATGGACTATTGAAAATTGCTAAAGAAGCCTGTAGGAGGCCTTTTCTCTATTTTCAGAAATAAATATTACTGCCTAATTAGGCGCCAGGCAGTACATTCCAACACATCTGTTTGATACTAGTGAGTTCTGGTGGAAACAGCCCCCCTATAGGGCTATCATTTAAAAGTATTGGTCTCCCCTCCTGTTCTAGGCACCCATGGGCTTTTGGCAGAAAGTGAGACCGGAAGGGTTAAGAAGTGAGCCTGCCCTTGGCCCACCTGGGTTTCTCAAGGACGTGGCTCAGGCTGGGGAGGGTAAAGGGAACACATATAGAGGAGAAGCTAATGAGGTAGGCTTTGGGATCGGACAGACTGTGTTCAAGTCCCAGCTTTCCTTAATGTTGACCAAGCTGTCTTGGACACGTCTATCTTGCAGGTTAGAAAAAAATTGTAGGAGTAAAGCACCTGGAATATAATAAACTCTCAGTAACAGGAAGGAAGGTGACATTCAGGGTAGATAGGCCAACAGCAGAGTGATGCTCCTGGAGGGCACCAAGAAGGTCAGATGAACAGTCCACCATGGATGCCTGAAGCAAGTTTCCAGACAAGTGAATAGAACTCTAATTCTGGGCTTAGAGGTTGTTTGCTTTTCTGAGAACAGCCAGCATATGAGGTGGAATATAAGGGGGTAGGGAGGCAGGGCAGCGTAGTGGTCAAGTCAGTGACCTCAAGGCCAAGTAGCTGGTCCCAATATTCAGTTCAACCAGGATTTATCAATGACCTTGAGTAAAATTATGAAACCTCTCTAAGCCTGAGGTCACAATCTGAAAACAGAACAGCAATGGTAGCTTACCGTTGTGACTATCAAAGTAGGTGATCTACATAAAGGTGTTTACCAAGTCAGTGAAAGGTCCAGTGAGCCCCAAGCCATGAGGATGTGGTTTGGCATCTAACCCATGATGTCATCCTCTTGGTATAGATTCCTTTCTGGTTCTCAAGGGACTTTGCATTCATGGTGCCATCTCTTCTTCACCTGATTGCTATAAGGTAAGCAGGGAGTGAGCTTGGCATCTTATTTTCTCTCTTGCTGAGGTGTTTCTTTCACATCACTAAGTGAGCCAGCATTATAGCTGATTCCTATGTAGATTGTCTTCAGTTGCACTGAGGCATCACCAGCTCAATGCAAGTGCTTACTAGCTTTATGGGGCACGTCAGGAGCTGGGGGTGTGGGACATTGTTGACCAGTCTTGAGAGTCTCTATTTTCTCTAAAACTGAGCTCAGTTTTGGTGGGTTTTTTTTTATTTTTCTTTTCTGAAGTTGTCTTAAGGAAATCAAATATTTTCATCATCAGGATGGTTTTGTGAGCTTTGGTTGCCTGCCGTACAGCAATTTTACTTTCACCAGAGATATATGTGTATTTTCAGATTTTATAAGCTACGTGGGATTCACTAGAGCTACAGAAACTCTATGGTCATAAATATCACTTGATATAAATCTTTGCAGGCTGGAGGACACCTAGGTTTGTTACAAAAGGAACACTGGACTAGGCTATTAGATACAGGACCTAGGAGGCAGTCCCAGCTCTGTCACTTTCTACCTCAGCCATCTCTGAGGGGTTCAGTATACTCATCTGTGAAATGGGAATAAGGGAATGGGAATAAATTCTAATAATCTTTAGAACTGGCCATGGGAATGAGATTAAGTAAATTATTGTGTGTAAAAATTTTGCATGATTCCAGACATAAAACACTCTTTAAGTAGCTAGAAAAATCTTGCAAGTACAACTTTTAGTTTATAGCCTTAACAAGTTCTTGACTACATCATCCTGGAAAGCCAAGAGTGTTGTGTGTTATCCTACAGGTTTACCCAATTTTTATAGAGCTCCATTTTGAAAGGAATTGTTGACTTTTTTTTTTTTCAAAAATGGACACCCACCACAACAAGATAATGGCAAACAATCTAATTAAAAAATGGGCACAGGATATGAACAGACACTTCACCAAAGAAGACATTCAGATGGAAAACAAACACATAAGGAAATGTTCAAAATCCCTAGCTCTAAGAGGGATGCAAATCAAAACAACTATGAAATATCATCTCACCCCAGTAAGAATAGCAAAATTTAACAGAACAGCAAGCAAAAAATGCTGGTGAGGTTGTGGAGAAACCGGAACCCTTACTCACTGTTGGTGGGAGTGAAAAATGGTGCAACCACTATGGGAGGCAGTATGAAGGTTTCTCAAAAAGTTGCAAACAGAAATACCATTTGTGCCAACAATTCTACTATTGGGAATATACCCGAAAGAAACCATAACTGCCACCCAAGCAGATATATGTGCACCCATGTTTATCGCAGATTTGTTCACAACATCAAGGACTTGGAAACAACCTAAGTTCCCATCAACAAATGAATGGATAGAGAAGCCGTGGTATAGCCACACAATGGAATACTACACTGCATTGAAAAACAAGGAACTTGTGAAATATTATTCAAAATGGGTGAACCTGGGGGACATTATCCTGAGTGAAAGATCTCAGTCACAAAAAGACAAATACTTCTGTCAAATTAAAACAAAACAAAACAAAACAAAAAAACCAAACAAAAAGACAAATACTACATAGTGCCACTGATGTAAAACAGGACTGACATCAGGGTTGGGGGGAGACTAAGAAAGATGGGATGAATAATGTATACTGCATAGAAACAGATGAGGGAGAAAACTATCTAAAGGGATATGTGATTAGGTATTATTGTCATGACAGGAGTCCAGAACGAAGGCTGTGTAGTGGAGTGGACCTGGCGGGAGGGATTGCATAACAATGAAAGAATTTTTCTTTTACTTTTCAAAGAGAAGAGTGAACTGGGGGGGCGGGGTGGGCAGGGAGAAAAGTGCAACAATGAATGAATAGAAATCCAAAATAATACAACCTTGTTTGCTGAAACTGAGGAGGACCTGAAGCATTTGCTGTGAAGGTCAAGGACTACAGCCTTCAATATGGATTGAAGTTCAACATCAAGAAAACAAAGATTCTCCCTCTGGGCCAATTGGCAGCATCATGGTACATAAAAAAAAAAATAGATGTTTGGGAGGAAAATGTGAAACAATGAATGAATAGAAATCCAAATTTTCTGTAAACTTTCATCAAAATATCAATAATAATAAAAAATATTCATACTCTCAAAAATAGCAAAAAGCTTCTGTTTGCTTGGTTCCACTATCAGCACTCTTGGTACCAGCAGCCAGGCAATCAAAAGATAAATTGAATTGGGAAAATCTACTAACAGAAATCTCTCTAGAGTACTGAAGAGTCGTGATTTCAATCTAGAGATTAAAGTGTACTTGATCCAAGTCATGGTCTTTGCAATTACTTGCCATGCAGCAGAGAGCTGAACAATGAATAAAGAGGCTAGAAGAATGAATGCCTTTGAGTTGTTGTACTGGAGAAGAACATACCATTGACTGCTAAGAGAACTAATAGAAATGATTTTGTAAATTATTACCTAACTTGGGAGGGACTGGAGAACATTATGCTGAGTGAACTAACTCAGTTCTACAAGGACAAATATTGTATAAAACCATTATTGTAGAATGAGAGTAAGGATCCAAGGGGATCCCCCACCAAGGGGGACGGGGGAGGACAGAAGCACAGGGATGAGGATGTGCAGGAGAATAGGGGGATTAGTCATGGGGTTGTATAATTTGATGGAGGGGGGGATGAGGGAAATTGGAAGATTCTGTTCTTGAAATCAATGTATTCTAATTTTGTAAATAAAGTAGGACAGAGAGAGAGAGAGAGAGAGCGCAAACAGATCCATTCTAGAAAGGGTAAATCCAGGTTGTTTGTTGGAGGCTAGGATTTTGAAGCTCCATCTCACATACTTTGGGCATGTGGCCAGGAAAGACCAGTCTTTGGAGAAGGACATCATGCTTGGAAGGCTGGAGGTACATATACATACAACACAAGTGAGGAAGACCCTGGATGAGATGGATTGACTCAGTGATTGGGATAAAGTGAGTACCTGTGTTGGAGACAATGAAATGGACTCAAGATAGAGCAGGGGTTAGAATGGTTGTACATACGTTTGATGTGAGTCACAAGTGAATTAATTGGCCTATGTAACAACCACCAGCACCACCACCACCATATGACCAGCCTTGAAAACTCAACATGGAGGGTAATGGTCAAAGACCCATTGGAGAATCTGGTGGAATTTGGTGAGAGGATGGACTCTCTTACTGTGAAAATGCCAACATGCATAGTTTTGTAATTTCAGACAATCCCTGGAGTTCTAAAGCCAATTTTATGTCCCTAGGCGTCTTGTGACTTTGTGTAAATCCCTCTGTGTGATATAATGATGATATGTGAATCCCATCTGCTTGATCCTAGTTTTAATCTGGATCCAAATTTGAGGCCAAACAGAAGAAACAGAGATAGGGTTAGAGATTGGCAAACCAGATTACAACCCGGTTCCTTGTTCCACAGTTAGCTCCTTTCTGAAAGTCTGAGTGTGACTTTCATGGTGAAGAATAGATTTTCTGTGCAGGCAGGTTTGCTTGTTCTGTGTTCCTTCTATCTTTTCTGCTTGGAATGCCCTTCCCTCACTCAGCCTTAGACCAACTCAGAGTCTTCCTTCAACATGTTCAATGGTCGATTGCTCCAAGGAGCTTTCCCTGAATGCTGAGGCTGAACTTTGATGCAGCTTCTCTGGGCTCTGGGTTTTTTTGTTTGTTTGTTTGTTTGTTTTAGAGCAAATCTAAGCTCATTGCAGTCAATTTGGTTTAGACTCATGGCTACCTTTCATTGGAGTTTTGAGGCTATAAATCTTCAGGAAGGAGACTGTCTCCTCTTTCTCCCACAGGTGGCTGGTGGATTTAAAACAAGAGCAATGGTGTCTCTCTGGAGACTAATGTGCATCTGATACAGGCCATGGTCTTCACAATCACTTGTTATGCATCAGAGAGTTGGACAATGACCAGGGAGGATAGAAGGAGAATTGATGCCTTTGAGCTGTGGTGCTGGAGAAGAGTATTGAGAATACCATGGACTGCTTAGAAAACAAACAGATTTGTCCTGGAGAGGGTTAAACCGGGTTGCTCCTTGGAGGCAAGGATTCTGAGGCTCTGTCTAACATACTTTGGACATGTTGTGAGGAGAAACCGGTCCTTGGAGAGGGACATCATGCTTGGGAGGGTAGAGGGACAGCACAGGAGGGGAAGGCCCTCTATGAGGTGGATTGATTCAGTGACTGGGATAATTGGGATGGGAGTGTCGGAGTCAGTGCGATTGGCTCAGGACAGAGCAGAGTTTAGGGCTGTTGTACATAGGGTCGCTATGAGTCGCAGGCTACTCGACGGCACATAACAACAACAACATCTTTCAATTAACAGTCCCACATGTATCTAGAACATGCTACACCATCAGGACTTCTTCCATAGTTATTGTTGTTGCTATAGCTGATAGCAGGGCTTTCAGAAACAGTAAATTACACATGAGAAGATTGTCCATCCTTCTCCCGCATGTATATAGTGTGTATGTACTCCTGCCTTTGCGTCACGTTGCTATGGTGATTTGTCTGCTTATCCAGTGTTTCTTTACTAAACTGTGAGCTCCTGATGTCAGGTGTTGAACCCCACTGATCTGTACCTACAGTGCCCAGCATGAAGCTGGTACCCAGAAGATGCTCAATGTGGGCTGAACCAAGCTTCTGTGCCCCAGCCCCTTGCCCCATATGTGTTCTCTGAGGCCGATACCTGTGTGTGTCTCTGAAGCCTAAGCTCTCCTTACCCAGCTATCAGGCATCGTGGTATGTTGGCATTAGAAATACATCAGAATGAGGTGCTGCTTGGCTGCCCTGAGCCTGTTTGTAAACTTTGTGCACATTCAGATTTAGAGAACAAATAGGATTAATAAGACTGGCAGTGTGCAGTAACTCCAAAGCTGGTTACCATTTACAATAAGGCAGCCACGTCAGCGCCTGGCGCGCTCCAGTGGTTTCCAGAATGCAAGTAATAGAATTTCTGTAGTTAAGCAGCTGTCATTCCTGGGGCCAGAGACGCTCATGTATAAATCCGTAATATAGAAGGACTGTGATGGATACCAGGCAAGAAGGTTGGGGAAAGGCAGGGTTATCCCAATCCATATGGCTGGCCTTGACCTTGGGACCAAAATTGCCCAGGCACATACACGAAAAGCCAGTTCTACAGTATTTACTCTCTTTTGTTTTTCTTGGGTCAGAATGCAATTTGCGTGGGAGCTGGGGACAAGCCCATGAACGAATATCGCTCAGTGGTGTATTATCAAGTCAAACAGCCACGTTGGATGGAAACAGTCAAGGTAATAATGATAATAATAATTAAAAATGACAACCAACATGTGTCTAGTTCCTGTTATGGACCAGGCAGTTTGATGTGCTTTATGTAAACTAGTTTATGTATGTAAATTAGTTTATGTGTGATTTACAACGACTCAGTGAGGTTCATGCAGTTACCACCTCCATGGTACAGATGAGAAATGGTAGCACAGAAAGGTTAAGTAATGATCACACTACAATATCAGAACTGAAATTCAAACCTGCATAGTCTGATTTTAGGTCTGTGTCCTTAGTTGTAGAAGTAGTGGGAATGGTTTGGAGCAGTACACATTCTTTTTCCTGGGAATTGATAAGATGACCCTAGACCCTGGACCTGGAGAGGTCAGAGGTCAGTTCATCTTCTAGCTCTCATTCACTTACTGCTTGATTCTAGCAAGTCATTCAATTTCTTTGTGCTCTGACTTCCTCATCTCTAAGAGTCCATACTCACTAAGAGATAGCCATTAACATATTGGCAGTTTGAAACAAAAACCCGAATTAGAATTTTCACTCCTTCAGGATACCCCTTAAACACAGGCCCCTTCCCTTGCCTGTTTTTTACCCACCTCTTTCTAGGGCACACTGAAGGAGGGCTGGATAGCTTCCTGCCTATTCTGTGTGACGTGGGAGGAGGTAGAGTGGGGAGGGGAACAAGTAGGTTAGGTATTGCTGTTGTTAACTGCTGCTCAGTCATCGCATGACTCATGGTTAATTTGTGTGCACTGGGATTGGATCTGTTGGGGCCTTATTAACTGACTTTCAAAAGTTAACCTCCAGGTCTTTCTTCCAAATTTGGTGGCTGTGCTAAAAATTGTTCAGCATCATAACAACATGCACTGAGAGCTGGGTGGTGGCTGTACATGCAGTGCATTAACTGGGAATAACCACACCTAGGATTCCTGTAAAGAAGGCGAGAGTTCTACTGCTGAACTCCCAGTGCCTCCTAGGGGGTGTGTAGTGGTGCCAAGCAGGTGGTGCAGGGTCTCTCTCCTGCTCTGCCCCTAATGACGTATTCTGTAGATTTCTACATAAAGAACATGACTTTAATGTCCCCTGGACAAATAAATGTGGGACTTACTGTTGGAAAGCAAACTCAAAAGGCTTCTTTGGTGACAATTCACAGAACCATTAAGATACAAACATGCTATACAAATCTGCAGAAGGAAGACAGCATTTCCCAAAGCTCCTGGACCTTAGAGCTCTTCCTGTTTTCCTAGCATTGCATCCCAAGCCTAGGGATCTGTTGAATATATTTTGTAAATTCCTTGTGATATTCCAAGCAGGGCTTGGGTGGTGAGGATTGATGGATTGATGTGACTACAGTCACCATTTAAGACAACATTACATTTTCATTTGCCAAACGTCTAGTTCATTTTTTTGTTTGTTTTTGTCTAGCTCAATCTTGATGCAGATTATGGGCATCTGTGTTGGAGAAATTTACAATGACAGAAAACCTTCTCTGGCTCTGAGTTGTAGCAGACTTCACAGTCCATACAGGCGTGGGAATCCCAATGTGAACTAATTTGCTCACTGGTGTCCAGTGGTACGTTATGCAGTGGATGAGGTGCTCCTGTGGTGAGCATTCTTGTTCTTTGCTCACCCTTCATTGGTCTGGAACCCAACCACTGTGTAACTGTCACGTGACCCTCTGTGGATGGCCAGACCACTGAGCTGTGCCATCCTACTCAACAGTGAGGAGTATCAGTGCTTGTGGGCCCCAAACAGGCCATTTAATACTTTCAAGATGCCTGACTGGGAAGGTACCTCAGATGACAGTGCATTAACTCCCAAGTAGCCACATTAGCAAAGTGTCACAGTAAGCAGAAGGAAATCTCTTGCTTTAGAAGAGAAAAAAAAAAGTAAATTTATAATTAATTAAGTAAAGAGTAAAGACATTATCTCAGTCTCAGAAACCTCTTCCCTATGGTGGGTAGCATTCTTCATTCACCTTGTTCTCTGACTAAAAACTCAAGGTATACACTTGACTTCCATTTCAGTGTTAGCATCCAAATCCCGGTGGCTTTTGCGTTGCCATATATCCATACTTATTTTCCTCATTGGGTCTCTCTATAAACCAACAAACCAATCTCCTGCTGTCTAGTCATTTCTGATTCATAGTGATTCCATATAATGGAAGGACCACCCCATAACATTTCCAATAGTCTCTTGAGAATTATGGCCTGTCTAACTTTGAGGTAAAAAAAATTCATCAAATTGAGTTGTTTTTCTTCTTTGTGTTCTACTGCACCCCAGTTACTTTTCCTTGCTAACCCTTGTCACATAACTATTATATGTCACTCTCTGTGGACCATGGGCTGGGACTCTGCCATACCAAAACCTGGCCAGTGCCTCACATAATTGTAGCTTGTAGTAACCATTCAATACACAATGAAATTGGATGGCAGTTGCCCACAAGGCTTTTGGTTCTTTTGCTCTGTCTGAACCTACAGACAAATGGTGGGTAACATTAGGATCATGATTTCATTTTCTAGGACAGAATGTGCCCCAAAGTATACATCTGTTTGACATTCAGTAGGCATCTGCACCGTGTAAACGTGTCCCTTTTAAAAATCAGTCTTTTTTGTACCAGTAGTTGAACCTCTCTCCTTTGGCCTGGATTGTGTATTGTGGAGGAAGCTGTGAGGCTTCAGGAGGAAAGGGGGCAACAAAGCCTGTTCTGAAGCCCCTCTAACAATGATGCCAGTCACCAGAGAGTGGTCTAGGGTGGCCAGGGGTGATTGTTTTAATTCAGGGCTCTTGGAAACAAAAGTGTATCTACTTGTATCCAACCAACGATGGGAATGAGCTCTAGGATTTTTTTCCCAGATATTATTGGATTAAAGCATTTATATTAATTTGCATAAATGAGAGTCCTCTAACAACCCCTCTAATGACCATTCCTAATATGCTAAGCTCTGCTGCAATTGCCAGGCGCTCTCGGAGTGTGTAAGAAAATGTTCATTGTGCCGTTTGCAGTGCATCAAATCCTGAGATAAAGTTATGTGACTTTTATATCAATTTGAGGAGATTCATTTTTCCTCACTATAATTTACGGATCTCTTTTCATTGGCTGGGGATGCAATTTGCCAAATGGATTACATTTAGAACTTTATTTTCTCCTCATAGCTAGTTCTTATGTAATTTATGTACAGTTCATCAGACTTGATGGATGTGTGATAAATCAGCACGCAACACTATCAGTGAAATGGTCAGGCTCCCTTTTGGGGAGTGGAACGGGATGGGGAGGACAGTTTAACTAATTGTCTCCTGAGTCCTGGTTTCTTTCTGAGGTGGCTGTCCCTATTGAAGACATGCAGAAGATCCATCTGCGATTCATGTTTCGACACCGGTCCTCTCTGGAATGTGAGTAGCCAATCAGCTAGCAATACTCAATCTCAGGGGGAGAGGGGGAGGAAGTGTTGCGCGGTCCACCTATCATTCTTTATCCTGACTTCACCGTGTTATTTCCAGCTAAGGATAAAGGGGAAAAGAACTTTGCCATGTCCTACGTGAAGTTGATGAAGGAGGATGGAACCACTCTACATGACGGATGTCACGACTTGGTTGTCTTAAAGGTGCCATGAGCTGGAACTGCCTCTGTCTGTAGGGAGGGTAGAATGGGAAGTGAGGGGCCAGCTGCAGCATTTCTCAGTGGTTACAGCCCATTAAACTTGCTGTTCCAACTCTTGGTGACACTGGGTGTGTCAGAATAGAACTAAGCTCCACAGAATTTCATTGGCTGTTTTTTTTTTTCAGAAGTAGATCATCAGGCCTTTCTTTCCTGTCACTCTGAGTGTACTTGAACCTCTCTGCCTTTTAGCAAGCAAATGAGCTTTTCAACCATTTGTACCATTAAGGGGATCTGCGTGTTGCAGCTAGTGCCCCCAAATGAGATATGCAAAGATTTGAGCCCTGACTGCATTGTGTAGCAGTTAGAAGACGTTGACCTCTCTATGTCTGTTTCCTCATCTATGAGCCCTTCATGAATAATTATGAGGAGTCCATGAGACAATACATATAAACATGACAATGACAGGTCTACAGGAGCACTCAATAAATGTTATCGCGTTGAGAATGGGTTGCTGACTCTGTAAGGACTTTTGTTGACTGTATGGAAGACCAGAAAGAAAGATCTGAGAGCTGTCTCAGTGTAATTAAAGAAAGAAATAAAAAATTTTCAGTCCACATTGTGCTGCTGACATCTGTGATCTTATGCTTGTCACTGTGCTTGGGTTTTCTTTTTCCTAAATTAGGAAGTATGGGGTGTCCCATGTGAAGTGCCCCATGCTAATAATGGTGTTCTAATGAAATCATTGGTATTTTGCATAATGAAATTCAAGAGGCCCTTGTAGAACAGTGGCTAAAGTTCTTAACTACTAACTGAAAAGTCAGTGGTTTTACCATCCTCAGCTATTCCACGGAAGGAAGTGTAGCCCTCTGCTTCTGTAAAGATTACAGCCTTGGAAATCTTATTGGGAAGTTCTACTCTGTCCTACAGTCATTATACCTCTGAATAGATTCAATGGCAATGACTTTTTAGATTATTTTGAGATTTGAGTTTTGTTTTTGAGAAATAGGGAGAGATTTGCCCTGATCTTACCTTTATGTCTTTACAAAGCTACCGTCAACACCTGATTGGAAGCAAAGTGTGTGACTGTGGAGTTGTTGTTGTTATGTGCCGTTGAGTTGCTTGTGACTCATAGCGACCCTATGTACTACAGCCCTAAACCCTGCTCTATTCTGTGTCAATGACACTGCCTCTGACACACTCATCCACAAATTTCAACTTCACCTGATGAACTACCAGGAATCAGACAGACTACATCCCTGGGAAGAGTTGATGGAGAAGCACAAAGATGAGGCTTGCGTTATTGATCTCCCTCTACTTCTTAGCTGGAATTGTCTCTTTTCCTTTGGTTCACATGGCAAATACAACGTATTTTTTTATTATTAAATTTTATTAGTTTTAATGAACATTTACAGAGATTTTGTGTTTTCATTCATTCATTGTTGCACTGTTTTCTCCACCCTCCTCCCCAGTTCATTCTTCTTCCCCCCCAATGTCTGTTTTAATTGTCCAATTGCCACAGTGCTTGTCAGATCCAGTTCTGATTAATCTCCTTTGTCAGTGTGTCCCTTGCCATTCCCTATCACTCTTCCCTGAGAGAGACTTCACCCTGAGTCATAAGGAAAAGGGGATGGCATATTCTCTAACTACTTCCTGCTGAAAAGGGACGCTGTGGGTTTCAGGGTGAATGTCTTCTCTCACTACTCTAAAGGGCCCCCTTGGCAGTAGGAAACACATAGACTATTATGGAGATTGATTTTGGAATTTAGATGCACTGTTATCAATTGTGCTTAGCCGTACATGTTCATATCTGTGAAGATGTATCATGGAAGTGTTGCAGTCTAGAAGATACAAATTTAACAAGTTAAAAGTACATGAGTCAAAAATTGAAAAGCAATAATATTCTGAGTAGAGGTTCTAATAGTGGCACAAATCAAGTTACAGAGGTAAGGTGGTTCCATTGCCATCCTTACTCTAACTTAATTCTTTTTTTAAATTTAAATTTGTTATTAATTTCAGTGAAATTTTACAGAGGCTTTGGATTTCCATTCATTCATTGTTGTAGAGGCAAATACAACTTCTGCAAGAAATTCTCACATGATAACTGTTCTCCTAGCTTCCCTGACTTCTGGAATATCTTTCTTTGGGACAGCTGTCTGTTTTCTTTTTAATTACATGACAATATAGTTCTTGACTTGAAAGCCCCTTTCTCCACTAGATTGTGGTATCTTTGAAGGTAGAGGTCTAGTTATAGTAAGTTTTAATTTTCTCACCCTATTAAGTGCATTCTGTATGCATCATCCCATTTAATCATCACAAGAGTCCTAGAAGCAAGTAGAAGTATTATCCTTAGAATAACAATTACCAATTCATGGTGACCTTGTATATATTCTACTAGAATTATGCTCCATAGGGTTATTAATTACTAATCCTTTGGAGGTAGATTGATAAGTCTTTACAATTGCATCTGGGTGGACTTAAACTTTCAATTCTTTTGGTTAGCAACCAAAATAACTGCACCCAGATAAGGCACAGAGAGGTCAAAGAATATATCCAAAATAGCATATAACTGTAAATGATGGAATATGGTATAGATCCAAAGACTATGTGACTTTACTGCTTTAGCCATGAGGTTTAAATGAAACAGATTTGTTCTCCTTCTAAGGGCCCATGTTATAATATTAAAAAAAATAAATTATGATAGAGTAATGGCCAATCTGTGAGACTTCAGCTTCTTTTTGCCCTTGCTAAAGTTCATAAAGCATTCATCTGGTTGATCAGCCTTCTATCCCTGACTTCTATTTGTTGCTCTTTGATATTTTCCCTATCTATCTCTGACCCTAACTAAAGCATGTAATCATATCCCGGTAGCTTTGATTTAGGGAAGTAATCAAAGTGTTGTTTTCAGGGGGACAGCAAGAAGATGGAGGATGCCAGCGCATACCTGACTCTTCCTTCTTACCGACACCATGTGGAAAACAAGGGATCCACCTTGAGCCGAAGCTCTAGTAGTGTTGGGGGGCTCTCTGTCAGCTCCCGGGATGTGTTCTCTATTTCCACCCTGGTGTGCTCTACAAAGCTCACCCAGAATGGTAAAGGAACATCCGGAAGAAGTGTGTCTATGGGGGCAGAGAGGAAAGAGTGAGAGAGTAAGAGAGAGGGAGAGAGGGAGGGAGGGAGAGAGAGAGAGTGAGAGAGAGAGAGAATGTGATCACGTATGTATGTACAGGAGGTTGTGAAAATCATAACTAGTAGTAATTCTATAATAGTATAATTCTATAACAGTAAATAGTAATTCTACTTATGTGGACTCTGCTCTAGTGGGCTTGCTGGGTTTGTTGAAGTGGCGCATGAAACCTCAACTGCTACAAGAGAATTTAGAAAAATTGAAGATTGTGGACGGAGAAGAAGTAGTAAAGGTCAGTAGGGTTTTATTTTATTTCCATTTCAATGAACAGAAGGAAGACCTTCAATAAGATGGATTGACACAGTGACAGTGGCAGTGGATTCAAGTGTATCAGAGATGATGGGATAGGGCAGGATTCACAGTCATTGTTCACAGGGTGCTGTGAGTCATAGTCATCTCAATGACACCTACCAACAAGAACAAAAACAAATAATGACAGAGCTTCAAATCATGGGTGGGCTTTGGGAAGATTTAAACTGTTGAAAGAGATGAGACAGCTCTTTTATTTGACAGCAGGGCATGCTGTCTCAAGTTGCCATGGGGACCTTTACTGAGAAATCAGGGCTGTGACTTGCTTCAGTGGCCAGAGTGTTGAGCAGCATACGGTTGTGAGCAGGTTCTGGGAAAAAATAAGTCTGGATTGAGATTTCAGCTTACCCGCTTGCCACTATATATGCTAATATTATAACATATCTCTCAGAGTTTTCATGAACATTAGAAGTGATATTTAAAAAATATTTAACATGTCTATTACACATAGTACACAATAATTGAACTAAAGCATTTAAAACGCATAAAGTTCAATAAATAGTAAACTATTAACTATTTTTGTTGTTATCTGTCACTATGGTAGTGTGCTGCTAGTCATACCTGCATATCATTGTTAGAAAGTATCCTTGGTTTCCTCTGCTTAGAAAGCATCATGTATTAAAGATGAGAAAGGAAAGACATCAGGCTCACATTTTAAATGAAACAAGCAGAAAACAATGCAAATGTCAGGCCTAGTGCTGCATGCACATGGTGGTGCAGAATAGAAAGTGTCTGAAGGGCAGATGTAATGATAACAGCGTCCTGTGCAGCAGTATAAATTTGGACAAGTGTTTCTCAGCAATCCTGGTGATCTCTCTTCCAACATAAATTGGTACAGCCCGAAACTCAAGGACTACATCGGTTTTATGGTGCCTCTGGGTTGGGAGGAACTAAATAATATTGACCCATTTGTTAAGAAAGAGAGAAATCAAGTTTTATTTAATTGTCCATACATAGAAAAGCAGTGGTAGAATGTCCGGATCAATGCTCTTAATGGACACTACTGTCCTTCTTACCTGATTCAATGATGCCAGGGAAACTCCCCAGATAACTTCTTTCATGAGGACTGTTTCTTTTGGGAAGACCGGAGACATCGAGGATGAAACTCCATTGTCTCATTTTTATCTTAATTTTTTTTAAAAAACAAAACTATTTTGAAGTATAATATATAGGCAAGTAATTATATATTTATCTTTTTTTTTAAAATTGTGATTTTAGTGAGAGTTTGCAGAAAGGATGAGCTTTCATTGATATACCTTTTTCTCCCCAGAGCATTTATCCTAGGGTACAGCTCACTGAATTTTTACAAGTATACATGCCCATGTAGCCATGACTTGGCCAAGATAAAGAACATTTTAGCACTGAAGTAACTTTGTTCCCCTTTTCAGTCACTAATAACTGCCTATGTAGGTGTACTCACAATTTGAATTACCATCATCACGGATGAGTTTTACCCTTCATGAATCTTACAGAAATAAATCCTGAAGAATGAAAAATTTTATGTCAGGCATTTACCTCAACTCAATGCCCATAAGAGTTATTATCTTTGTATTACTATGAAAATATAGTAATTCTTCTCTGCCTGGACATGTATTAAGGTTACTTCAGTTTCTGATTGTTATGAATAAAGTTCTAAAGGATCTCTTCACTCATTGATTCATTGTGAATCCCCCCTACCTGAGCCCCTCATAACTGCTAGTTTTATTTTTGTCTCAGTGAGTTTTCCTATTTGAAATGGCACAGTCTGTGCGGTATAGTGCTAGAAATCCAAAAATGATGGCCTCTCTAGTGGTTCAAATCCACCAGCCTCTTCAAAGGAGACGGATGGATAATATCTTCCTATGTAATTGGCAACTTCTAGAAATCCACTGGAGGATCATGAATGAGTTGGTTCTGATTTAATAGCAATGGGGTTGAGTCTGAAGGTTTATTAGGGTTTTTTTTTTTTCTTTTCCAAGTGGGAAGGGAGCTCTGGTGGCCTAGTGGCAAGAAGCTGCACCACAATCCCAGAGGTATGAAGTTCAAATCCACCAGATGCTCTGCTGGAAAAGGAGGGGCAATCTCCTCCTGTACCTATCAGATCTGACTTGATGGTACATGTGCAGCCTTCAGTATCGACTGAGGCTCAATGTCAAGAAGACAAAGATTCTCACCACTGGACCAATTGGCAGCATCAGGATGGATAGCGAAGAGATTGAGATTGTTCACAGCTTCAGTTTGCTCGGCTCCACAGTCAACACTCTTGGCACCAACAGTCAGGAAATCAAAAAGCGTATCGCGATGGGAAAGTCTGCTGTTAGAGACCTCTCTAAAGTACTCAGGAGCAACGGTGTCTCTCTGGAGACTAAGGTGTGCCTGATACAGGCCATGGTCTTTGCAATCGCTTGCTATGCATCAGAGAGTTGGACAATGACTAGGGAGGACAGAAGGAGAGTTGATGCCTTTGAGCTGTGGTGCTGGAGAAGAGTACTGAATGTACCATGGACTGCCAGGAAAACAAACAGATTAATTTTGGAGAGGATTAAACCAAGCTACTCCTTGGAGGCAAGGATTCTGGACCTTCGTCTGACATACTTTGGACATGTTACCAGGAGGGATGGGTCGTTGGAGAAGGACATCATGCTTGGGAGGGAGGAGGGACGGCACAGGAGGGGAAGACCTTCTATGAGATGGACTGATTCAGTGACTGGGGTAATCGGGATGGGTGTGTGAGAGGCAGTGCAGTTGGCCCAGGATAGACCAGGGTTTAGGGCTATTGTGCATAGGGTCACTATGAGTCTCAAACGACTCGACGGCACATAACAACAACAACAACAACAACAATGTAAGTGGGATCATACAATATTTATTCTTTTTTCTTATTTCACTCTATGTTTCTTTGCATTGCCACATTTATCAGAACTTCATTTCTTTCCATGTCTGAATGATAGTCTGTGGTTTGGATATGTCACATTTTGGTTATCAGTTTAGCCCTTGATAGACACTACGTTGTTACTCTTCTTTTTGCTTCTGTGAATGAGCACAGATATACATGAGCATTGGTGTACATTTCACTTCTTTTGGATATATACCTAATAATAGAATTGCTGTGTCTTATGGTAGTTTGTTTAACATTCTTAGGAATTGTGATTTAAGAGTTTGTTCCTCTCAATTTTGCATTCCCATCAGCAATGTACAGCTGTTTTAGTTTTTTTTACCTCCTTGTCAATGAACAATTGTTTCCCATTTGTTTACAGAAAAGAATGATTTCCTAATGTGACACTTAAAAATTCCTTGTAGTAGATGTATACACTTCCTTTAAACACTTAGGAGTAGAATCACTACTCTTCCATAATGTGATCTTTTATATTTATCTAGTTTCTCCAAGACACTCTGGATGCCCTCTTTAACATCATGATGGAACATTCTCAAAGTAATGAGTATGACATCCTCGTCTTTGATGCACTGGTAAGAGAGAGAGGATTGGTATTTCATTGACATTATTGTATCTGCTATGAAAGTACTGAGACCTCGTAGTTCTTCTTATAAATTCTTTACAGGCAATGCAACATTTGTCAACTATACCAATGAATGACTGAATGTTTCTTTTGAATCATATTGACTTCCTTTGAAAGGTAGGATGGGTGAAAGCAGAATTTTAAATGTTGATGTCAGGTTGGTTCTGGATACTGTGTATGATGCCAGCAACTTTTCATTAATCCTGGAAAGCTAGTGTCTGGCAGGAAAATGCTGATGTGGGCAAAGAGTTGCACTGCCAAGCCAAAGGCAGCTGGTTTCGATCAACCAGTTGCTCTGTGAGAAAAAAATGGGCTCTGTAGGCAATCTCTTCTCGTGCAATTAATAGCCTCTGAAAACCTTCTGGAAGGTCAGCTATTAGTTGGTTCCAATTCAGTGGCAATAAGTGATTAAATGAATCTGAAAATTTGAAAATTAGGTTTGTGTTTCCTGACCCTAATTTTACTTCCTACTTCCTTATACTATTTTCTCATAACCATTATACTCTCTACATACTCAGAAACTTCCTCAGTAATATCTTAGTTGTCTTTCTTGTATCTTTCAAAATTATCTTGCCTTCCTTTTGCTGTTACACTCATGCTTTTCAGAGTTATGCAAGAATAAATATACTAAACATCTGCATTAAAGTACTAGTGATCAGTAAGCTCTGAAATTGTTAGGGACGTTTGTATTTTTATGGAAATTGCATGGAGACAGCTGTTCCTTAACCTGCTTCTTCCCTGCCAGAAAGAAGCATCATTAAAAATGATACTTTGATTAAGTAACTTAGGAATCTCTGGTGGCTTAGTGATAGGAGTTGTACTTCCAAGGCAAAGGTGGACTGTTTGATTAAGTAACTAGGCAAGTATGTACATTGTATGACCCTCTTGGAAATTTGTAATTCAAGTAAGTATGGAAAATTAGTGATTCATGTAAGAATGTTAAAGAGTCTGAAAAGTCCCACCATAAAGTAAGCTATTTGACAATTTTTACCTAAGATTCCTCAAAGTCATTTGCTCATGAGGCCTTTGCATGTTTTAATAACCTGCAGTAAACGAATTCTTGGACAAACAGATGGGATATTTAGAGTTCTGATAGAGGTCCAATTGTGCATGTAAATATAGTGCCCTCTCCTGGGTTTACCTTTGTATCTTCCTCAGATCTACATAATAGGACTCATTGCTGACCGGAAGTTCCAGCATTTCAACACTGTCCTGGAGGCTTACATTCAACAGCATTTCAGTGCTACCTTGGCTTACAAGTAAGTCACTGTGTACTTGAGGATTTCATTTCCACCTCCTAGAATTCCTGAGTGCTTTCCTCCTGTAACTAGCCAGTGTGAATTCTCCCATTTTTCATCTTCCCAACCCATTCTAAACCTCGTTTGGGTTATCTGAATATCAATCAAAATATACAAGCCCATAGATTGTGTTGAATAGTGTGATGACAGAAGGACTTGGAGGCACACATTCATTTATTGAACAATTAATTTATTTAGTTTATTGACCTTCTATTTGTGTAGACAATGGTAATGTAGGCTGGGGTGGAAACAAGTGCATATGCCAAATATCTCAGTGCACCGTGAATATAGGGTAGTTAGAGTTAGGCTACTTATAGTTAAGGAGATGATGGCTGCAAGGTTGATGGGGGCCTGTGTATGAAGGGGCTTTAAAAGCCAGAAGCTTTCAAAGTCTGATTGTAAGGAAGATAGCGTGGAAAATTTCCTAGCAAGGACATTCCATGAGATTACATGAGCATTTCTTCTTCTTCTTCTTCTTTTATTTTTGTGGGAAGAAAAGACTGAAAAAGACATTATCATCACCATTATTCCCACTTATACCCTGATTGTAACTAGTTCTCTTAGTCAAAGGATTTTCTTTTCTTCACTACTTTTTTTTTAAACTGGCTTTTTACGAACAGGAAAAACTTATTCACTCTCTGTAATAAATCAATTTTAAAAGCAAAGTTATTTTTGTGCTTGCAAATGAGTGACTGAGCCTGACTAGGCCACCACCTTTAACCCTTGAATGAATGCTTTATAATTTACTAGAAAATGAATTACCATACTGTAGGCCTGGAAGAGATGTGTTTTGAAAATATAATCTTTTATGCAGGAAATTGATGACTGTTCTGAAGACTTACTTGGATACTTCCAGCAGAGGAGAGCAATGTGAGCCGATCCTAAGAACCCTGAAAGCTTTGGAATATGTGTTCAAGTTCATTGTTCGGTCGAGGACATTATTTTCACAGTGAGTACTTGTTATGTAAGAGTGATTGATTAGCTCTGCAATTCCTCTGGGACGCAACAGTATTTGTACTGTAAGGAGAAACTCTCCTAAAGAGTTATATCCAGCTGTCACTCAAATACACTTTAAAAAAAACAACTTAGAGAGTTATGAATATGTAATAACTGTATGATCCAGGTTCACTCAGGAAAAAAGCAAGGGGGAAAGAAAGAACTCTTGACTCTTAGTTTGAAGCTAACACTTTGTAGAATTATGTTTTATCCAATAAATTTGATTTGCGATTTCAGGCTCTTCTGTGTGCCATCAAACATTTTTCATTTGATTTAAGATACGTTGAAAATGGACCAGCACTCTATAACTGTACTCAGTGATGGAGAGACTAAGACTAGGGAGACAAGAACTCAGGTGGTTTGGCATTGATTTGGCTCGAGTAGGTTGTACATGACAGATGAGCAGGTATTTGCACTTGATCTCTTTGTCCTTGAAAGCCTAGTAACCAGTGAGTGAATTGATGCGCTAGAGCTCCTTTGAGATTTGTTATTTGGTGGTCAGTATGAAAGAAGTTAGTTTCTATTTTGCTGGGTATTTGAGATGGAGACATTTAAATGCAACTTGCAAAAGAACAATTTATGTTCACCCTGTTCTAAGGCAAAGTTGGAGGATTATTTTGTGTATAATTAGGTTGAGTGTGTGTAATGAGGTAAAAATACACAGAGAAAATGTTGATCAGGATTCTTATCAGTACTAACAACAACAAAATAAATTCCCAAACTCAGACTGACTTGGGCAGTAACAGAACTTTATTTTACTTCACATTGAAAAGTCCCAAGGGTAGGCTAGCTTCACCATTTCTTTTCAGTTCATCATTTCCAGCACAGTAGACCACATAACTGTCTGATTCAAAATGGTCAATGCCAGTCTATTTCAGCTCACTGATACCTCAATTTCATCTTTGACAACTTCCGATTTTCCTTGATTCATACTTTTCTACACATTCTAATTACTAATGGATATTTGCAGCTGTTTTTCTTTATTGTGAGTCCTATCACATCAGCAAATGAAAGTATTGAATGATTTACTACGTTCACATCATTAAGGCTGCCAACCCAAAAGCAGGCAGTTCGAATCCACCAGCTGCTGCTGAGGAGAAAGGTGGGCAATCTCTTCTCATGCAGTTCACACCTCTGAAAATCCATTGAATGGGTGGCAGGGTGAGGTCAGCTAGTTGATTCCAACTTGATGACACTTAACAGCAGTAACCATACAATAATACATATTTTGAGGAAGCAATTCTTCTGCAGCCTGGTGTTGTTGTTATGTGCCGTCGAGTCGCCTGCGACTCATAGCGACCCTATGTACAACAGCCCTAAACTCCGCTCTGTCCTGTGCCAATCGTACTGTCTCTGACACTCCCATCCCAATTATCCCAGTCACTGAATCAATCCACCTCATAGAGGGCCTTCCTCTCCTGCGCCGTCCCTCCACCCTCCCAAGCATGATGTCCCTCTCCAAGGACCGGTCTCTCCTCACTACATGTCCAAAGTAAGTTAGACAGAGCCTCAGAATCCTTGCCTCCAAGGAGCCACCCGGTTTAACCCTTTCCAGGACAAATCTGTTTGTTTTCCTAGCAGTCCATTGTATTCTCAGTACTCTTCTCCAGCACCACAGCTCAAGGGCATCAGTTCTCCTTCTATCCTCCTTGGTCATTGTCCAACTCTCTGATGCATAACAGGTGATTGCGAAGACCATGGCCTCCTGTATCAGACGCACCTTAGTCTCCAGAGAGACACCATTGCTCTTCAGTACTTTGGAGAGGTCCCTAACAGCAGACTTTCCCATGGCAATGCGCCTTTTAATTTCCTGGCTGCTGGTGCCAAGACTGTTGACTGTGGAGCCAAGCAAACTAAAGCTGTGTACAATCTCAATCTCTTCACCATCCATCCTGATGCTGCCGATTGGTCCAGTGGTGAGAATCTTTGTCTTCTTGACATTGAGCCTCAATCCATATTGTAGGCTGCAGTCCTTGACACTCTGCAGCAGGCGCTTCAGGTCCTCCTCAGTTTCAGCAAGCAGGGTTGTGTCATCCACATAACACAGATTGTTGATAAATCGTCCACCAATCCTGACCCCACATTTCTCCTCATAGAGCCCAGCCTCCCGGATAATCTGTTCTGCATATAGGTTGAAAAGGTATGGAGATAGGATGCATCCCTGGCGTAAGCCCTTCCCAATTTTGAACCATGCAGTGTTCCCTTGCTCTGTTCTGATGACTGCCTCCTGGTCCAATATAAGTTTCGTATTAGCACGATCAAGTGTTCTGGGATTCCCATTCTTCTCAGAGTCAGCCACAGTTTGTTATGATCTACACAGTCAAATGCCTTTAGTTTGAAAAAACAATTCAACATTAGTCCTGAAATACAAACTGTTAGCAATAACAGCATTCTTTTTAGGGAGCTCTGGTGGCTTGGCTGTGGGAATCTGCAACTCAATCCTGAAGACAGGAAGTCTGGATCCTCCGGCTGCTCCACAGGAGAAGGATGGGCAATCACCTCCCGTGTAATTACTGCTCTGAAAACCAGTTGGAGTGATCTCAGCTCTGCGTCGGTTCTGACTCGATGGTACACAACAAATACAACAATAGCAATTGATTAATGTCAGTTTGCCTATAAGGAAGACGAACTAGGACAGCTCTTATTCAAATTTACACAATCTCCAAAGCCAATGACAAAGGCACTGGAGATTTTTACCATTCTATGCAGTCTAGGAGGACCCCTAGTGGCTCGGAGTGTAAGCACTTGGCCGCTAAGCAAAAAAGTCAGTGGTTCAGCCCACAAGTTGCCACATGAGAAAAAGATGGCAGCCTACTTGTAAAGGATAATTTTACTCTGTCATACAGCGTCACTGTAAGTCAGAACTGACTCGACAGCAAAGGTTCTACTGAAACCTATCAAATACGCAATTAAGGTGCAATAGAAATTACTGGTGATTGGAATTAGAAAGTTGTAAACAAAGAAAGATAGTTGGAAAACTTGGTATTTTTTATAGAAACAGTAGATCCCATGGTAGACTATTTCAAGACCAATGACTTAATCACTGGAATTACTTTTTTTCAACAACATAAAGATCATCTATACGGTAGTGTACTTCATTGGATGAAAATTATGGGAATCAAATCTAATGCATTTTGGGAGGCTATGGAGAAGCTCAGTATCAGTAGAATAAGGCCCAGGGATGACTGCTGAGCCGACTTTGAATTACTCAATAAGCAAGTTCAAGTTGAAGCAGAAGTAAATAGAAAAAAAATTACTAGAACAAAAATACAACCTTAAGTATATCCTATCTAAATTTAGTGACCTTTTAGAAGATAGATTTGTGCACTACGGATCCAAGATCAGATGCATTATGGAATGGTATGAAGAAAACAAAGATCACGTAAAAGATAGAAAAAAACCTCCCTTAAAACTGGTGTCAGAACAGCTTTGAAACTTGCTCTTGAATGTGGAATAGTTAAAGAGAAAGGAAGAAATGATGAAGTAAAAGAGGTCAGTAGAAGATTTCAAATGGCAGCTCAGAATTATAAAGTATTATGAAATGCATAAAGACCTGGAGTTAGAAAACTAAAAAATATGCTCAGTGTTTTTAAAGTTGAAAGAAGTGAAGAACAAATTCAGGCCCTGAGTTTCAAAAATGAAGGATTCTGTGGATGAAATATTGAATACTGGAAGCATAAAAAAAAAGATGGAAAGAATGCAGAGTCAATAAACAAAACAAAAAAATAGTATATTTTCAGCCATTTCAGGAGGTAGTATATGATCAAGAACTTATAATATTGAAAAATTAAGTCTAAGCTTCCTGCAGATATTGTCTCAAGACATTCAACAAATGAATGCAACTCTGGTCATGTTTGCTCACCTGGACCAAGACAATGAAAAGACTTGAAAGAGATCCATGTGTTTGCTCATTCCAAAAAATGTGATCCTGTGGAAGGCAGAAATTATTGAACAGTAGCAATACACATGCAAGAGAAATTATGCTGAAGAGAATTTTAAAATTATTTAATCAGTGTCTCTATGGGGAATGACAAATTCAAACCCCATTCAGAAGAGGACATGGAACAAGGGATATTCTTGATGACATTTGATGAATCTTGGTTGAAAGGAGAGACTACTAGAAAGATGTTTACCTGCATTTTACTGACTAGGCAGAGACATTCAACTGTGTGAATCATAACACACTATGGATAACGTTGTAAAGGACACTTAATTGTGCTCATGTCAAACCTGCACATTGACCAAGAGGCAGTGATTACAACAGAATGGGGGATATGACATGATTTAAAATCAGGAAATATGTGCACCTGGGTTACATTCTTTCATCATACTTAGTCAATTTATGTTGCATTATGAACAAATAATCCATAATACTGGACTATATAAAGAAGACTAAGACATCAGAATTGGAGAAAAACTCATTAACAACCTGAGATATGCAGATGGCACAACTTGCTTGCTAAAATTAAAATGAACTTGACCTGCTTGCTAATGAGGATCAGAGTTTCGTATCGATTACGTCTCCACATAAAGAAAACAAAAATCCTATAACTAGAAAAATAAGGACTGTCATGATAAAGAGAGAAAAGATTGAAGTTGTCAAGTATTTCATTTTACTTGAAGCAGCAGCCAAGAAATAAGCAATATATTGCATCAGGCAACCCTGCTGCAAAAGACTTCTTTAAAGTGTAAAAAAAGCAAAGCTGTTACTTTGAGGATTAGGTCGCACATACACCAACCAATAGTATTTATTTATTTATTTTTTTATCATCCCGCATGCATATGAAAGCTGGAAAACTCTGGAAAGTGAGCAAGAAAGATTAAAGAAAGTATGCATTTGAACTGTGGTGTTGAATATACTATTAAAAAATTACTGTGTATCTGTGGACTGTTAAGAGAATAAACAAATATGTCTTGCAAGAAATATAACCAGAGAATAAGAGTTGCATAGTA